AACTCTTTTTTTTTTTTTTTTTTTTTAAAATCTTTTTTTCTTTCTGATCCTTCCTCGCTGACCAGCATCTCTAGGGACCATTCTGGGAATAACATCATGGGTCTGTCTGAAGTCTGTGAAGCTTCAGATGTTAACTCTGGTAGAGCCCCAGTTTCATTGGCTTTGATGGTGTCACCCAAGTGTCAATACAACTTGCAGTCTCTACTGTTCTTTGAAAGCTTTTATTTGGTCATTTGTTTCCTGGCTTTCACAGGCACTAGAAATGTGGATTAATGCTGTCAGGGTTTGTTACTCAGTAGTTTTACTGCTGGTTTTATGCTGAATGTACATATTACACACAAGTAACCCCGATGCGAGATGGCTCGGAAAATAAAGTCATGGTTCTCGATCAGATGCTTCCCATGCAATGGCTTTTAAAGTGTTTTTAACTCATTTTTAATGACACCTGGATCCTTTGCAGTAATGCTCACAATGTGAAGACTGTAAAGTATTATATAGGAAGAATGACTTAAAGGTAATACACTCGGGAGTGGGCATTACAGTTTTGGACTTTTATTCCAATTTATATGACCTGTTAAACCTCTTTCCCAAATATTTAGTACTACTCCCCTGTAAAATTGGCTTGGCTTCCTAGTTCTGCTTTATTATTTTCTTGGGATGGCATTCATAGCTGAGATCCATTTCCCCACTTTGGCTGAAGTATTGCTCTTCATCTAGAGTGCCATAGGTTTTCACGACTAATCCAGCCCCTGTTGAACTTAGTGGGGACATTACCTTTGATTTCAACTGGAGAAAGATAATGATCTTAATGTATTTGGTGGGTTGGCAATTATACTGTCGCCCAAGATAGTTGTAAAGGAAGAGACGCTTATGCAGAGGCCGTTATAATAGGAGTGGAGCAAGTTATGTGCTTCCAAAGAAAGCTGCTTTAGTGTGAAGATAAATTTTAATTTCCAAGTGTCAAATTGTTTGTTGAGCTGTCTACTAAATTTATCATTATGAATCAAATTCTAATGACAGTAACGAACGTAAGTAAAAAACAGTTACCCGTGTATGTTTTGCAGACATGCATACTTTTCCACAAAAATCCAGAAGACAATTTTTGTGGAATCTTACAGGTATTAATCATATGTGCAGCCTGTTTTTCTCAGACTTACATTAAAGCACAGGTTGCTCATACCGGTACGGTGGTTGGTCCTTCGGTTTCAGTTGTTTGGTGATGATGGCATTTCAGTGGCTTTCCTTGAACGGATCTCGGGAATAATGTCTTTGCAAAATGTGACTGGCCTTGAGTAGAAGTGAGATAGAAGCAAGGCAGTGTGAAGAGCAGGAAATTCAGATATTCCCCTTCCTTCAAGTCTCTGAGAACAGTTGGCCCCAGTCATATACTGACTGTAAAACCACTGCTTTGTGACCAGAATCTTTAAGAGATGCCTTTTATGTGATCAGTTTTTATTCAAACAGGGATGAAAGACCATTTATGTTGAATTTTGCAATTGAATGTTCATTCTGGATAGAAAAGTGCGGTTGTGTAGGTCACCTAAGGCTTAAAGCATAAAGTAACATTGCTGTTGGAACTGTTGGGCATCATAAGCGTTGGGACTGTGCTCATCAAGCAATAATGTTTTCAACATGCACAGAAGGGTTAAGAAACCAGTCTCCCTCAACAGACAGGACAAAGTACTGTTTTCTTGGACAGGCAAGAAACAAAGGGGGTTACCAAGGCCGGGCCATAAGGAACCACAGTCGTCTTCACGTGTATCACTTGAAGTCCAATAGAAGGCTTCCTTAATGCAGCTGAGTGCAGAGCTGAACAGGCTGTGTGGAATTCATCTTCTAAGAGGGAAGATAAATGGTAGGGCTTTGAACATTTTGTTTTTCCTTCGCGAATGTTATGGTATTTTAAAGGTTGAAGCTAAGCACCTGAAAAAAAAAAGAAAAAAAACCAACTTGATATAAAGTTCTTTTTCAAAATCCCTAATGAAATAATTCTACATAACACCAACCTTTTTCAAGTATCACTCGGAGATCAGGAGACTAAAATTAGTTGATCTCTGGTCATAACCCGTCTTCCTAACAGGGTGTGTTTGTGGAGTGAAGTGTGGAGCTTGGAAACTTTGGATAATGGCATCCTGGATTTTGTAAAAAGAAAATGAGAACAACTTAAATCCTGTATGAATTTCCTATAATAAGAACCTCATCTGGGATGTTTCAGCCTGAAGTAACTTCACCTCTTGAAATGGGAATTGATGCTTTTAGAAGGCAGTTTTGAATTCTTTTCTCTTCCCCTCACCATTTTCAGATCAAAATTTTTTAGATGTTGAGAATTTTCTCTAGATTAATATTTTTTTGCTAGGTTTTGGGTGCTGTTTTTTAAAATTAGAGAAGGTTGGTGTGTGGGCAAGAGTTCCTACCAAAGTCCATTATCTGCTGCCTCTTGGAATGTGTTCACCAAGAATACTTGTCTTGGTCTTGTGAAACTGTGCCAGCAGTTGGATAGTTTTGGGGCCAGGTGCCAGACACTTATTTGGCCCCCAGACTGCCACGTTAGCGTTACTGAGCTTGTTTGCCTGGAGTCCTGGCCATGGAGAACCGCAGTGCGGAGCAGCTGGGTGCTCGTCATCTCACAGCGATGTAAAAGGTTTGGTAGATGTGAGTAGGGGGTGCCAAGCACGGTGGGTGAGGCAGAGAGAAGGCTCCCACGGAGGCAGAGCCCGGCAGGGCCAGTGCACCCCGCGGGGCTGCTCGCCCCCCCTCCCTGTTGTGGAGCATCAGCCAAGCCTCGCCCTCGGGCCCTCAGTGGTGATGGCGCAAGGCCCCCCTTCTCTTGGTTACGTCCAGATCGGTGGGGTCCTGGGAACTGTTTCTCAAAGTGAGCTTTTACGTCACCAAAGTTTGCTCTGGCAACGTGCGATTCCAGCCCTGGTGACAGTGAGCAGCTGTGCAGAGGCTTTGCATGTTCAGTAACGCGGCCATGCCCTAGAGGAGACGCCGTTTGCATACACCATCAATTGCTCAGTTAGGAGAGAAAAACAAAAAGAAGG